TTTCAATGCTATCAATGCACTTGACAGACTTTTCGCATGGTCTTGATGTCTTTTGACTGCAGTCAAAACTTAAATAAACAATAATACATTTTTATACTTAATTAGCGGTTAACCGCAAATTTCAATATAGCAAAATCCGGTTAGAGTTTTTTGTTTGTACTTATTTATCATTGTTTTCGTAATTGTTGTCGTTGTTGCGCTTTTACTTTGTTGTCGTCTTATGTTTAAAGTCTATAGAACGACTAAGGTTAATACTGCGGGCCAAGCAAAAATAACAACAACTAAATTGCATGTGATTCTCAATGCTGGAGACTGACTGGAGACAGAAACTGAATAAGCGCATTTGACCCAATTAAAAAGAGTTAAGCAGCGCAGCTAAAGTCGAAGACAAACATAATTGAAATCTCAGACAAATCGCAGAGAAGAGAGAATCGAGTTGTCGACTTACTGTAGACCACATTAACGATGACTATTGTGCTTCAAATAAGGATTGGAGCAACCATTATAGAAACGCCTATAACTTAAAAAGCATATTTTAAAATCAACGTATTTCATTTTTTGGCTAAAATATTTATGAGACGTGCCACACCTTTGAGATTTGCAATCGATGAACTATAGCGGCACAAGTATGATAAGAAGTTAAATGCAGATAGCGAAACGAAAGGAACAAAAATAATAAATAAATGTGTCCAATTACACTTATCTTATCAAGGCAGCCAACTAAAAGAAATCTAAAATATTTATGTATTAGGAAACTATCAAAAATTAAAATTAAATCAGAGAAGAAACAAAACATTTGCAAAATGGTAGCACATTATGCCGTGCTACGCCTGGTAAAAATAAATGTCTATGTAGAGCGAAGAGCTGACAAAAGACTGCAAAACTCATGTGCAATACTTGAGAAACACAGCAAAAACAATAACTTATCAGCAAATCTAAATATGTACACATAAATAAATGTACAACATATAAAACAGCCGGCATTAAAATATAAATACAAGTTGACGAAAATTTCACAGCACTTGGAACACGCCTTATATGGTAGCACAGAGGACAACAACAAAACGTCTAGCAGAAGGGTCGCAACTTTTACTTTTTGCTTTTCGATTTTATTATTCTACGATTCTTTTTACGATTTTAGTTGAGTTTCGTGCAAAATATATTTCAGTTGATCACCTTTTCAAAATTTGTTTGAGATTAGCAGACCAACAATGGGAATTGGTTTGTATTCACTGTATGTGTGTATATAATCCAGTATATAGCCCGTATCGTTCAGTTGAAGCCTGTGTTGCTCGCAACCATTCGAGCGCAGCTGAATAATAAACGCGTCCGTCTCGCAAAAAGTCGTTGAAGTTACTGAAAAGCCAAAGTTTTGGCGAACACTCGAGAAGTCGGCGCATAGGCGAGCTTTTACAGAAAGAGAGCGAGCAGAGAACGAGATGGGCAGACAGAGAGAGGGAGAGAGGCATAGCGAACGTGCGAACCAAGCTTTGTAGCGCAGTGTTCCTCTCTCTCACTCTCTGCCTCTCTCTCCCTCTCTCTCTTTCTGCCCGTCTACGTATGGAGCAACACTGTTTTTATTGAATAAACGACAACGCGAAAAGCCGTAAACTTATTTTGTATCTTTTTTAATGTAGCTCGTAACACGGATGCGTACTTTAATAATTTTTGCAAACAAAAGCGGAGCACTGATCGTCTCTTAACTACTTTACTAAGGGGGCAAAGCTCTGCTAGCGTTGCCACACTCTGCAGCCGCCCTATTTGAAGAAATTTGCATATCCTATAAAAAACTAGAGCATTTACTTGCTTACATATTTAAACGTGAACTGAAGCTAAACTACTACTTTAGATTCGGGGTACTTTGAATCGGGTTTTGATCAATGGAAATAGACATAGCTATTAATCTTTACAAGACTCAACACTATGCAGACATCTTGTTATAAAGCATTTAAAGCCATTTACAAAATTGAGTAAAACAATCACGTTTCCATATTGTTCTGTGATCTACTTCTAAGCAAAGAATTAATAGCTCAAACAGTAAAGTAGAATCAGAAATTGCATAAAAAATCTTCCGAAATTTCAGGAATCTTAAACACATAGAGTGTCTCCTATTCGTTCGGCTAGAATTGCCAGTTTCTAATTAAAAATGTTTGAGTGCATGATTGATGATCTTCCAGCAATTTCGATATGCAACAAATCCAAATTGAACGGAATTCGAATCCGACACAGAGTCCGAAAGAGACTCAAATAATTATTAGGGTAACTTCTATTCGATCAATTTCACACTTTCATCAAATCCAATTGAAAATGGGTGCGTGCACTGATTGATGATCGTGGCGCCTGTATAATGGCTTTTCAGTCTGAAGCTAAATTACGTTTGGCTTTTTAGCACTTATCGCAGGCAACATAAGAGCAAGAACAATAAGCGAATGTCGACTCGCACTGGGCAGATTCGACAGAGGATAAATCTGCAATCTGTTCGGCAATTGGAAGTACTATAAATAAAAAGCGAAGTAATGAATAAGTAAAGGTCAACACTGTGTCATTCGCTGGCACACAAAGTGGATCAGATTGCGGATGTGCCCATCCATTAGAAGCTTACAGCTTACGATGCGATCTGATCTTAAGTCGAAGACAAATCGAGCTTTCAGCTTTAATGTACTCGCTCACGTAGTGACAACGAGTATATTGGCTTTTGACATACTAATTGGAAAATGCACAAACTGAATTCAAGTGTTCTTTACTATTCCAACAAACAGAGATGATTGTCGACATGCATTTGTGTGCTCTGAGCGAGTATTGTGAAGCCAATTAGGCCCGCAAAATTCTGAGTTTTCAATATGGAGAGCGCGCTTGTTGTTTCCGATCGAGTTCAATAAAATGACATAAGCTCAGCCACGAGCGCTCAACTAGACAACAGCAAACGCTAACGAGAAAGTGCAAAAAATATATACAGAAATGGGAAGAAGAGAGTGAGAGCAAATACACTTCGTGTCTGTGTGAAATGCGCAGTTCACAAAATTGACAAAATATACAATATATATGGAAAGAGCAACAACAATTCATGTGTCATCTGATGCTGCTGCTACTGGTGCTGTTGCTCGACGCCTGACAGACGGCACGCAGAACACAAAATTCAATTATGAGTGAAACATTTTATAAAGATCCACAGCCCCGCACACAGCGTATAATAGGAGAGTGTGGCGCAGGTAGGGGAGGGTGGGGCAGTTCGTTGGTGGGTGGGGGTTAGATGCCCGGCTGTGGGTTTGGCATTGAGTGCTGAGAGATACGTGACAGGTACAAGCGAGTGATTCACTTTTAAGTACTCGACAATGCCCTTCACAAAGGGGTATATGCAGTCGAGCACACTGGTTGCAAAGCAGATAAAAACCATGCAGATAAGAACAGGTCACGGAGCATAGGGGGAGTAGAGCTTACATCACATAACCAACTAGATTACTTTCACGTTTTCAGATATAAAACTAGATTGCCTATCATGTCTGTCTATCTTGATTCGAAATATTCTGCTGCAGGCATACGGGAGTGACTCACTTTCAGCTTGAAAAACTGAAAAGCAAATCGCACTTATTTTCTTTTAGATAACACCAACTTTAAATGGTATTATCTAGAATGCAGTTAGATATTCAAATAACAAGAGTATATCCTAGTCGGGCAAACGCCAAAGAACAGGTTGGAGAAAGTGAGGATTTCATGTTTATTACTTATCTGATTTCTCAACTATTTTAACAGACAGCATTTTACCGATGGAGCCAGGGTAACCTCCAGGGCATTCTTATTTATTCAGGATTAGTTAATTTCAGTAACTTATATATTAAATCATATGACATCAAGTAAATACATAGATTGTATGATATGGTTGTATGATATATAACTTGATGAAATAGTCTGAATGCGACAAGAATGATCACTATCTAATCTATTGTACTATAACGGCCTATGGCTAAATTTCAAAGTGAAGTTAGATGTCTGCTCCAGGGTATAGCCTAGTCGTGCACTCACAAATGCTCTATTTGCAATTAGAGAGCTTATGAATATGAAACAAGAAACTGGCATGTAGCTGCGGTTGCATCGATTCTGATTTTGATGCGCGTGTAATAAAAACCTGACGCGAGGATCGCTCGAATCCATTAAAATAATATTCAGAAAATACCTAATAAGCATAAACAATGGGTATCAACAATATGGGCCACTGGGTCGGTACGTGAATGGCTGTGGTTTGCCACTATTACAATTACGTGGTGAATGAAGTGTGTGTCGCAGACGACGCCTCCAACGCAGCTGTCCACGGCTCAATTAAATAGTAGCCGCGTTTCAGTTAATTGCCCATAAGACTCTCTTTCGAAACAGAGTCAAGTATAATTTGTTTAATTGCGAGTGGGCGGCCCTCTGTCTCTCTGTCCCACCGACACAGAAAGCAATTCGATCGGGTCCACTGTTTGTTTATATGTTTAATGCCTTTGTGCTCTGGTATTTGGCATTCTCTCTAATTGGCTAATTAACAAATCATTTGCTTGCAAATCAAAGCAATCGCTGATTATGTTGACAAACATTTCAAATTTCTGATTTTTAGCTATTTGCTTTTCTCGAAATCAAAGAAAGACAAGCATAATAAAGATGATGCTACCATAATCTCGCCATAAAAAAGCTGGGTTTAGCTGGAATAAAGCGCTATTTACAGCAGCGTTCAGCAAATTGCAATTACCAATTTTGTTTCTATTTTTGTTGTTGTGCATTTCTCGCATTCATGGAAAGGGGGAGAGACGTCTGCTGACCGCGTGGGTGCGGCCCATAAATTCGGATTAGATCAACTGTATCTATTGCCCAGTTGAGTGGGTGTTCAAGAGCTGTAATTGGCAGAGCCAGAATTACGCCGCACTGAATCACTGGAAACCAGTTTTTAATAGATATGAGAGGACTTACAAATATCGAGATATATCTAGCCAAAGACTAAAGGTCGAAGGAGAAGCGTTTCAACTCACCTCTAGGTGGAGGTCCGGCCTTTGGTGTGGTGTGTGTGCAACAGAGTCTACCGATTTTCGATACGGAATTAGTTGAGCCGTAGTGGGCGGGCGGCCTAATTTTTGTGGGTATGCCGGTGACGGAAGAGGCGGGTGTGGGTATATTGGATCGACTGGGTGGCTTGATCTTCGACACTGCGGCCGGTGATACCGTACCCGATCTCATCTCCGTTTCCGTTCCTTTAGTCGATTCCGTTTCATTTGATATAGAAGCAGCAGCTGCTTCTGCTGCTGCAGCAATATCCACATTTTTTTCATTCAATGTTTCACTCATTTTCACTTTTTTATTTTATTTTTTTTTTTTATAAAACACACGCGTATTTAAAGATTTTTCGATATAAAAGCTGGCTATGAAAAACAGCCAATATTTTGTGTAAATGAAATAAGAGAAATGCTGAATGCTGATAACTTACCTCTGGACAAATTCTACATAAATTTTTCACAAATGTTTGGCACTCATTCAACCACTATGCGGCCAACTGACGTTTTGGCGCGCACGCAAGCTATCTCGCTTGCACCTTCGACGACTCGCGCTCTCACAGCCAACAGCTGATTGAAGTTGATTTTTTTTTATTGTTTTATTTTCAACTTGGAAAACAAACAAAAAGAATCGCGGCTTTCCGTTGTTGTTGTTGTTGCTTTTAGAGTGACCACCTTTTCTCGTTATGATTTGAAAAAATGCGGAAACTGCTGCGAGCTTTGACACCTTGAATTAATTATGCATAGTTCCCTCAGAGACGCGCGTAACACATATTTACACATACACAAACCATTTATTGAATATAATATTTATTGAATGATCACACACGGACGTGCGCGGGGCATTTAGAGCATAAAACGATTTGTTGCTGTTGCCCTTGTTCCGATTGACACAGATATAAAAACGAACGACGAACGACAAACGGTGCCAGCGACGGTCGTTGATAAGATAACGATGCACAATGCACTGATGATGACGAGGACGATTCGACGTGCAACGCGTTTACATTAACACAATTTTATAAAAACTAATTTACGTGTAAATATTTTGCAAAAATTCTAGCGTTTGCTTGTAATTTTTTATTTTTTATTTTTTTGGCTGCGTTGGAATTTTTGTTGTTGCACTATTGATGGCAAAACGGCGCTGCACTGAGTATATCGATGTGTCTACTTATCGATAGAAATGTTACAGCTGATATGAATGTTACAGCCGATATGTTTTCTACCACTGTTAAATTAGAACAGCCGTTGCGGTACGAAATACGCATGAAAAAATACGAGCATATTCAGAATATTACTTTCAGGTAATGAACAAGAAATACGTTAAGAGGAATTTAGCAGTAAAATTAAGTAAAAATATATGGTAGTTTCTTCTGTCAGTATGTTTAGCTACAGCTGGAGTTGAATCAATCCTTCATACTAATGGTATTTATACCCATAGCAATACAAGACGAATATCATGTTTAGTTTCTGAAGCAGTTGGGCAAAGAAAATAATTATTTTAATGGAGCAATAGCCGTCGTGCACCGTGTGTAGCCCTTTAAAGAAGGAGACGATAACCAGTATCACCACCATATGATTAGTGTCAGTATCGTATACCAGTCGGCGATAGTCATTGCTCGTATACCAGGGCTACTTCAAATTTTTTCGTTACCGGTGCTAGATTGTTGCCTCTGTTTTCTAACAGCTGTCCGATGAAACTCCAAACGAGCAAAAAATTAATATTAATGCTCAGCGACGAATGCGTTAGCACCGTTTGTCAAATGCCTATTATTGGCCATCTGTGGCTGAAGGACCAGCTGGAACTATGGGAGGCAACTGCGCACATTGCCTGGAGCCGATTGCCTAGCAATATAATCACCAATGGCAACGCAAATCGGGGCGGACGTTAGATAAAAATATCCTCGATTAGTTGGAGGAGCATCCAAAGCAACAGCAGGGATTTCTGAGCGGCATCATTGGAACGCTTCAACAGCTGGATTACAAATGTGGATCGGGCACAGTTTTCTTAGCCTGCGGGAGCTGTTCTCTCTGGATGATAGCAAAAGAGGAGTTGGTACATAGGGTTCTAGTGGAGAGCTTTCCTTATTTATGACATGAAGGGCGTGCCGAGCAAGCGCTGCGCTACTTTGCAACTACTCTGCCATAACATGAACAATCCGCAGGTAAATGTTAATGATTTCACTGTTATTGTTTCTAAAATGTTTGTTTATATTTCAGATGGATGAATGCTTTAAGCATTTCAACTTAGTCGTAAAAAAGGAGCCATCATATGATATCTATATTAATATTGGTTAGAGTAAGGTTGAGTTTGATCCCTTGGTAACCGTGCGATAAGTGAGGCTTAGAGAATCGAAGGATCATAATCGCGAACAGAGTACAAACATAAAATTTTTAATATGAACTCATGTTTTAAAATTCAATTTATTTCTGAGAGACTGTACTACTATAAGAGATTCAATATAAGAGACATTTTCATGTCACTCCAAATCACCTAGGTCACCTGTATATATGGGATAAGTTTGTTTTTTAAATTTAAAATTATATATATATACGGTATGCTATAAAACTAAGACCAATGAACAAGGGAGTGCCTCCTAACCGGGTACTCCATTTACCGTATAAGTGTTTAAGAAGTTTATTTTTTATTGTCTCTAAATAAATATAAATATTCGAATTCTCGCAAGACCTGGCGATCTTTCTAAGCGGCTACATAAGTGAGTTTTTAGTTTTTTCGATTTATCAATTGAATAACTTTATACAAAGTCTGCGTTAAATATTTCATAGAAATACGCGTGAAATTTCTAAGGCTACATATTGGGCGTACAAGTCTTGAAAATAGAACGAATTTAAGGTGTTTATCTGTGACAGTAGCAAAACATTTTTAGAGCCGCGTCCTTGATGCAGTAGCTCTGGCTGCCATACAAATTGATGCGGCTGATCGTGCCGGTTAGGGCGCTCGTAAAGCCAGTCATCCGCACCGTCGACTCGAAGACAGCCAGGCCCGGCTTTGTCTGGAATCTGAGCGTAATATCCACGCCGTAATCGCTGGTTATGTCCTTGACGATCTTCTTATGCGGCGCCGCGATCAGTGCCTGCAAAATGGAATTCAAGTACAGCGTCCGGCACTGCGAGTGCGCCGAGAGTCGGCTATTGATCAAGCGGACCAAGTAGCGAGCGGCCCGCTGAACGCGAGCGTCATTCGTGGCCAGCTCCTTGCGCTGGTAGCAGGTGCACCAATGGGCCGCAATGTCAGCCTGTTCGCAATTCCTCTCCGCGGGCACCGGCAGAAATAGGCTGATGCCGCGTTGCAGCGTACTGTCGGCGTCATGCAGCTCTGCCGCACTCTGCTGCAGTCGCTCCGGCTCCAAGTTGCGCATGTCGAGCAGCTGCAGCAGTGTGGCATGCAGATCGAAGGGCGTGATTAGTCGCTTGGCATTCAACTCCAGATTGGCAATGGCCAGCGGATAGCGTTTCTTTAGCCAGCCAGGATACAGGGCTATGAGCAATGGCTGGCGCTCCTCCATCATGCCCTGGTAGGTATTTCGGAACGAGCCCCAGCGCATCCCGTGGTCGGACATCAATAGCAGCAATGTTCTGTTCAGCACGCCCGACTCCTGCAGCCGCTGCAGGGTCATTGTCAACTGCACATCCAGCAGCCGAGGCCAATTCAGCTTATCGTGTGTGAGCGTCACCGACCAGAAGAACGAGAAGAAGAGCTCATGCTGCATCTTTGGCACAAATTTTCGCAGGTACTCGAAGAGCACATCCGCCGTCCTGCGCCCGCCCATGCAGACATTGACATTTAAGACCTTGTTGGAGGCGATCCGCGCCTCCATTTGCGTCATCATGGGATGGAAATAGTAATCCGTTGGCTGTCGCCGAAAGCCAACGCGGTCGAATTGGAATACTCCAAGGGAACTCACATCCTCCGCAAAGACCGTTCTGTAGCCCGCCTGTTTATAGCGCTTCCAGAGGAACGAGCAGCCGTCGAAGCTCGGCATTGCCATTGGCGCCACGCAGGATATGTTCAGCTCCTGCTCAGTCAGCCCGCTCAGCAGCGGCACCAAATTGGGAAACGTGTTGTCGCCCACCTTGTTGAAGCCCCAGAACTCCACATGCGACAGATTGTTCCTTATGAAGCTCGAAGTGCGATGCATCTGGCGAAGGAAGTTCAAGTGCGAAACACTGTCGATGCCAAGCACCATGACCGAGAGACGCTCCCGCGACGAGCTGCTGTGCTCATGGTTATTGCTATTGTTGTTAGTGTTGTTGAAGCTCACGCGCTTGAAGCGCTTTCTCTTGTGGATGGTTCCATTGTCGGGCTTGTCCACCACAAAGAAGTGGCAGTCGGAGTAGATCTCCGAGCCAGATGTATCCTTGCAGCTCATGCACATGAATTCCAAGTTCTTGGGCAGCTGCATGACCTCGGCCAGCTTGAACGGCACTGGCTCCAGCTCCTGATTTTTATTGTCGTTGACACGACGAATCTCCCTATAGTGACAGCTGATCTCCAACAGATTCTTGATCTTATAGTACTTAAGCTGCTCCTGGGCATTCAGGTTGAGCAGCAACTGCCCGGCGATCGTCTCGCTTGTCCTCGTCAGGGGCTTAGGGCACTTCACATCCGACGGATTGAACAGAAACTGCGACACAGTCTCGTCCATCTCCTCGAAATGGGGCATCCGACAGCCAGGCGTGTCCAGAAAGTAGGCCTGAGTCCCATTATTGTACTCATCGTCGATGCGTGCTATGAAATCGAAGCGATCTCGCAGCCGGAGCAGCTGCGTCCTCAAATTGTAGTCCACAAACAAGTAGGAGAAGACGCACACGCAGAATATGATGATCACTATCTTCTTAAATTGGCCACGATTCCGGGTCATATTATAGTATTTGTAATAATGCTGTAGATCCCGTTTTGTCATATACTTCGGGTCCATCAAATACTTGCTCCTGCAAACAGATCGAATATATTAAAGTTAGGTAGCTCAGGTGAGTTTGACGCTCTCCCTTTCAGTTTTAAGTTTTTATTGAAAAATTAATAAAGTGGAAAAGTTGTGAAAAAGGAAAATGAACATAACACTAAATGCAAATTTTGTATCTTGAAATTCAGGCTTTTCTTCTTGCCTTCTAGCTGTGTCTCAACAAGCTTGTCTAAAGTTTATGCTGACATATCATTAATTAAGGCAACAAACAATATCATGTACAACTCTCCCACACATAGGCACACACACTGGGGCTAGCTGTGCTTACACCTCAAAGCATCCTTTGACGAGACAGGCACGAACAAGTCGAAGTCGCCTTTTTTACGAGCACAAGGACGTGATGTTGTCAATGTTTTCTTTGAGCCACATGCACTCATCTATACATATATATATATCTATATATACATCTATATATATGCATCTTTAATGCAATGCTAGCAGCAGGCTCAAATTTATGGCTGCATTTCGAAGTAGCAGAAGCGATGAAGACGAAAATTGAACCGTGTATGGACTTGAATATTACATATTTACACGATGTATGCATATGTATATGTATGTATACTTCAATTAAACTTCTGATTTTGAAGTAAAACTCTATGCGGTGACGATTTACACAAACTGCTTTGATTACATTGCATACTTGATATACCATATTAACTAACTAACTCGTATAAGAAAGATAAAGCGTATGAAACACAATAATAGACACTAGCTGCAGGACTGCTATTAAATGATTACGAGCTATGAGCATCTTCAGGTGCGTGTGGCTCGAGAAATCAAGTTTTGGCCATAGTCAACGATAGTGTAACTCTAGAGCTTCAAACGAACTCTTAGACTATTAGATAATATTTTCTCTCTTTGCTTAGAAGCAATAATTAACTACGCATGCACTTATTCAGAGTCTACGGCTTTACTCAATGATTCCACATCCCAAAACATTTGCAGTTTGACAAAGACTCGGAATATTTTGCCGTCATCCTAAAAGTGTGCAATGAATGCTCTTTGCATCTTTTACCTCTCAGATGTGGGAGCTAAAAGGCATACCTAATATTTGCAGCTTCTTTAAAATAGACTACGCTGCGTGCGGCTTAGGAAAAAGCATATTTGAAACGGATTTCTGTTTGCATTAAAATTCTATTCAATTGATGCTTCCAATGCCATTTTCGTTTGGGCAAACACACAGGGATAAACTCAACGTGCAAATGGCTTACGAATTGCTTCATTCACACACACACACACACACTTGAGCCTATGTGCGCACACACACACATGCTTATACTTACTCATAGCTCATATCGCCGAATTTTCGGCTATCCTTTGAAGTGTAGTAGGCACGCATTTTAGCACCTTTTGATTGAAACAAATCCGGGCGATAAAATCTCTTCTCTTACAATTTGCTCAAGTCCTTGACATTTCAGTTATTGTTGTTGCTATTCCATTTGTTGTTGCTGTTGCTGTTGTTGTATTCATTTCACATTAATTGTTTGTGTGCCACATTTTGTAGCAAGCACTTTCTCATTGTATTGCACATTCAATACAGCACATTTTCCACTCAACTGTCTTCTGTTTGGCGCACACCTCGCCCCGCGCCCCTCGCTTGACGTATCTATTTATTCGTGTATCAGTTTACCTGGAGCAGCTGCTGCTGCCACTGCCAGCCCACTGAGCACTGGATGCTGTGCGGGACCAGGCCGTCCGCTAGACGCCACACAAAACTCTTTCTCAGTGCTCCACTCTTGCTCTCGCTCTCGCTCTCGCGCTCTCTGTTGCTGTTTCCCTTGTACGTTGGCGCAGTGTTGGAAAATGCGCAGAACGTCCATTTTGACAGCTGCCAGGGATGCTGCAAATCTGATTGGACGGCAACTTATTTGAATAAGCATTAAGTCCATGGTTAATGTTTTTGTCTCTTTACACATGTTTATTATATTGCATTTTTATTATATACTATATATATTACCATAAATTGAAAAATGTTGATATTATTATAAAAATACTTTATTAATATAAGTATTATTATTACATAACAATTAAATTAATAATAATATAATGCTCATAACAAATATAGAAAATTAAAGAAGGCTTTTATTGCTATGAATATATTTATAAGATCTTTAATTTATCATTTATATAAAACTGAATAAGGGTTGAATGACTACAAAGCAAGTTTGTTAATTATAAGGCAAAATCTCAATTATCATTTTACGTACGGTTTCAAGAGTCTCAAAATGTGATCCAATAATTCAAAACTAAAGATATTATCATTATTATTGGACTCATATGTTGCATTTAGGGCAACGAAATTTGTGATTATTATCTTGTATATAAATACTAGCCAACTGTCAGAGTCGGCTGGTTGCACCGCACTTCGGGTCCTCGAATTTCTTTAATTCTTAAGCAAAGCATTAAAGTCTGAGACGCCGACTGTTTTCATTTCATTTTCATGTTTTCTTATTTTTTGCTCACTTGTTGCTTTTAGTGGACGCTTGTTATTTCATTGTTGATAGGAACTATTTGCTGTAATAATTAAGATTTGCATGTTAGTGGCTGTGACTTAATTAATAGAAACATAACTGCATAGAGACGAATGGGGGTCAAAAAACGCATTCAAATCGGTTTTTATGGCCAATGAACTCGGCGGACAAACGCCCGCTGTGCAGGTGTGTGTGCGTGTGTGTGTGTGGCGTTTCTATATGGTAGAGTAATATATTAAACTAAAATATATAGTAGAGTGTATCAATGTACAGTTGTGCACTAATGAAAACGAAATTCTTTTTTATGTCAAGTGTGCGTCAGAGCTTACGGGCCAAGAGTATTAAGGAAAGACTTTGCGCAAGTAGCACATGCAAATCCTTTAGCCCGTATGCCTGCCAAAGAACAGGACATCATGCAGGGCACTTTTGCTCATTAGTTGCCGGCCGAAAGATGAAAAAGGCAGCCAGGATCAATTGGCTGCAACAAGTGACTGAGCGTGTGCGTGTGCGTGTGCGTATGTGTGTGGGTGTGGCTACACATGTGAGTGCGTGTGTGTTAATAACACACACTGCTGCAGGCTCTCTTGTTGGCTTCAACATGGCATTTTTATGTTCAATAATTACAACAACAACAACAACAACAACGGCAAGGACTCGCACTCGGACGTAAATCACAGATTGGAAAAAGCATTTCACTGTTGCCTCGCCCTCCCCTCGGCTGCCGCTCGACCGACCACTTGAGAGACGATTAACAAGCGTTTGTAATGTTTCATTATTGTAAATCAAAAAAAGAAATAAACCAGCAAAAAAGTCAAATAATGACCAAAGGCGGCAGCAAAAAATCGTCTATAAAAGCGGGCAGCGCATCAAGCGAGCGTTTCAGTTGAAATTTCAAAGTGCGCTCAAGTGCAAGCCCAAAAACCCAAAGGGAAAGGACGGAAGTGCTGCTAATTAGGGCTACCTGGCTACCGCTACAAGGACATCCATCGATATGCTGCGTCGTCAACGCCGCCTGCAGCCGGACAACAGGTGCAACAGGAGCTGCAGCAGCAGCAGCGGCGGCGGCCACAGCTGGCGGAGTCGCAACTATTTGCCTGGCCTGCTGATTGTGCTGCTCGTCCTGCTCCAGAGCTTCGAGCTGCATATGTGCCGCCAACTGAGGGGCGCCACTGCGCACAGGCGACACGTGGACGTGGATGCGGACAAGGACGTGGATGTGAACGTGGACGGGGACGTGGACGTAGAGAGGGAGGCGCAGTTGCCGCCACTTGAGAAACGAGCCATCGCACCGACTACCGTTAGCCAGCCGGAGGAGATATTTAGTGCGCCCAACGATGCGGCTGACATGAGCTATGATGAGTACCCGGTAAGTGTTGATGGTCACTCCAGTTGCCGCGCCCACCCCCACCGCCACCCCACCCCTCCCGAAAATTTAAGAGCCTGCGTGGGCCTTTGGTCAAACCCAAAAGTGTGTCTCGTTTTACGCACGCAATCTGTTTGTAAATGTATATTTTGCATTTGATTGCTTGCCCTGCAGGTGATAATGTTACCTTGCTTTGATATCGCAACGGGACTTGTATGTATGTATGTGTAGAGGTGTATGTATACCTACATCTCCAGCAACGGCCTTTGGGGCGGCTGACGTCACGTTATTTGAAAAACTTTGTCAACTTTCGCTTAATAAAAACAAAACAGGAAAACCATTTTTTTTTTGTGCTCGCTTTATAAATTGCGTATACGCCATGTAAACGATGTCTGCAAATAACTTTTCGTATGTGAACCCACTTGCTATTATTATCTTAGAAGTTTTATTCGGGTAACATTTTTCTGATACATGTAGATATATTAAAGTTTATATTAATTTATAATAAGTTATAGTATATTTTACAACGAATTTTCTTTGAATTTGAGTTTTGTGATTTTATTTTTTTTCTTTTTTAATTATTTTCCTTATATTTTATCAATTAAACAATTTTTTTAAAATTAATAAATTATATTGAAAATTAAAAAAATCATTCTTAAGCAATGACGTTATCCAAATGTACTCCATCCACTCCTTAGATGGTAGTGCCGAAGCGCGCTGCCTTACTGCTGGATCGCCTGATGGTTGCACTGCATCATGCCCTGGAGAACGAACGTGAGGGCCATCGCATTGGCGAGTTCTATGCGAATAAAAACGTGGGACCAGTAAAGCCTTCGGATTACAGAAACGCTTTGCAGCAGCAGCAGCAGCAGCAGCAACTTCGAGCAACAGAGGAAGGTGAGCGATACGTTCGAATTAGGAGTGAATTTGATATGCAGTTACATATATATTATATATATCCACAATTATATCTATATCTTTGATTAGCTGGCAATCAGCCGTTGAGTGGACACAGCTTTCACATGTACAGCGATGACGATCCGGGCGTGATGATGGATTACGACTTCAAAGATCTCAATCAGATAAATCGCGCAACGGGCGAAACTGTAAGTTGGATATTGAAACCAAAATATGCAATTCAAGATATCAATTAGCATGTGGCAAATGGTGTAAGAAAATTTCAGTTAATGGCAAAGAGCTTTCAGAGAAGAGCCGGCACAACTGCAGTTGGCATCGATGCGGCGTCAGCGGCTGCAGCTGGACCTGGAGCTGGTCCTGGTCCTGGTCCTGGCGCTAGTCCCGGCCTCAGGCGCATCCATCACGTTGCCAATGGAGGTGGTCGCATGTATTGGCGCTGCTATTTCAATGCCGTTAGCTGTTTTTAATCCAACCAACCATCCAACCAATCAACCTACCATTAAACTCAACCAACTGAAACTCCATTCAAAAGAAAACACGAATTGGCTCCAGGTTCGGCTCCAGCTTTTTGACATCTTCATCTCGAGCATTGCGTTTCCTTGGCTGCTATGAAAGTTGTTCGCATGATTAACTGAAATCATCTGTCAAACATGAATTGTAAACTGAAAACCCTTTTGTAATTCTAACATTATAAATATAGATATTTATGTATATGTATAAACGTGTATATCCATACTGTACTCATCGCTGCAGCTCTGTTCTGTGTAATAAATCTATAAATAATAAATCTATGCTAGAAGATATGCTGTGAAGAACAGCTGATATGGGGGATACATTCTTATGAGAAATTGGCTACAGCCTATAGCTCAACTTAAAGAACTTTTTATAAAATGAGAAATCAGGGGATAAAGTTTTGTTAAATGTATGTAACATGCAGAAATATGCGTGACAGTCTTCATTGGATATATGTATATATGCTTAATCAGGGCGACGAGCAGCGTCCATCCGTCTGTCGGTTTATAAGAGCTAGAGACTGGGATTTGTTTTGAGAGCATTCCCTTAAGTATTTTCCCTTAAGTATTGTCCCTAATTATTTCCTTTAAGTATTTCCAGCAAGTATTTACTTCAAGTAATTCCCCGTCATAATTCCCTAAGTAAGTCCTCTTAGTATTTCCTCTAAAAGTTTCCTCGAACCATTAATGCTTAACTAAACGATCACATACTTCACTTCACTTCACTTCACTACACTGACTGACCCCCACCAGGCCTGGGCGACTGAAGAAATGCTGCACCTGCAGCCCTTTATATAGGGCGACTATCACTCAAAGCATTGATCGGGCTCAACTGCAGAGCCCGAAGTCAGGTAGGGGTCGCTGCAGCTGAGCTTTAAGTGACCAATGGGAACTCTGCTGCAGAGAGAGTGAAAGAGAGAGAGAGAGAGAGAGAGAGAGAGAGAGAGAGAGAGAGAGAGAGAGAGAGAGCGAAAGAAAGAGAGAGGGACAAAGAGAAGGAGAGATCGAAAGGGACGGAAATAGAGAGAGAGAGAGAGAGCGAGCGAGAGAGAGAGGGCGAGAAGAGAGAGAGGAAAGAGAGAGAGACTCTGCGTAATGTATTATTTAATGTCAATAAGATAAAGAAAAGAGTTTAAGAAGCAATTAAAATAACATAAATCTATTCTAGTTTCATTTTATTTATCTCCCCTAGTTAGAGTTGGCTTATTGAAGGAGTTGCAGCTGCTACCTTCCATCCATTACACACACACTCTAATAACAGCAGCTCACCTGCTAATATATGTATAACTAAAACATATATCATATTTCAATAATCCATAAAGGCTGCTGGATTTGCTGTTGCGATGTTCGCTCCAATAATCGGACGCTAATTCTCTCTAATACTGATTGACACTACTATAAAAACTAACATACCCACTCACACACAGACACACATACACATACTCTCACTCACTCTCACACACTCTCATAATTCATTCATTGTACTTGGCATTTCACATTTTGGCCTTATCAGCGCTATCAACTCCGGGTGCAAAACAATAATACTCTTAGTTGAGATTCCCAAGCGGAAGCAGCACTTAGTTATATAGTAGATGTATTAGATAATATTTCGATGTGCATTTCCAATATTACAATTAGAATTACCGGAGACTTTCCTTTGATGGAGTCTTTTTTGTGTATAACTATATGTACTTCACTTTGAGGCTCTCACCCAACTAATTATGATACATACATATTTAATAAAATGAAAAAAGTATTAATATTGTATACAACTATGGAAAATATTTGTATGTTTGCTGAGTAGTTTCTGCCATAAATATTTTGCTTCACATTACCACTACGTCCCCCTAGTGCCTTTGGCGACAGGAATCAATGCATAGCATTAACTAAATGCAAGTTGATTCAACTGGGCTGCTTCGATCAGTTTTTGCTTGTGCAGCGCACGTAGAGCTCGTTATGGCCAACTTTAATTGCTTGTTGGCCAAGTTTTATTGGCCAATATGTGCGAAATTAACGATGTTGCAATACAAATTGATGTTGCAGTTCAGCCAGAAGCTGCGTGTAACGTTCTCCAAATAACTACTAGGAATTTTCACGTGGAGAGTGAATGACTACGCTGTACTCTGCCAACCAAAATCAAAATTTCCGTTCTGTTTATGTGTGTAAAATATAATCTGAAAGCAATGTTAAACGTCACACTTGGACGTTTAGACAGTCTGACCGACAGCTATGGCCGATATACCCGTTTTCCTTAACGAATGGGAATCATAAAGTTTTGTCTGCCTTATCAGGGGTAAGACTAGGTGTAGAGTCAGTAGTAGTAGTCAGTAGTCAGGTGTAGTTCATAAATCAAAAAGTTGATCATGTGACGTCACTGATTGATCAGCGATGTGGCGCCTTTTTTCAGAAATGAACTAGCCAATAAATGTTCTACTGAACTGATTGAGACGATAATAAGTGAGGCACTGTGGCACTAAATCATGTAAAAAAACTTCAGACAGAAAGTCACGGATAATATTAATTCAAAATTACTGAGGTGCTAATTCATGAACTTCTGATTATGCGAGCTATGGAATGGAGAAAGAAAGCTTCCACTTTAATTGAACTACCATTCCTAACTAATCATAATCGATTCAATGAGATTTTCAGTTCATGAACTGCTAGATGATTGAACCAGTAACTGAACTAGTGCCACCGTTCATTCATTCATCGCTCTGACTTCAATTGATTCACAGCGCCAACAAGTATGCAACAAGTTTTGCCAATCAACAGGTAGCAACAGACTATTCACCACACACACACAGATACACGGCATACGCACACATCCATACATGCATAACGGTTATCAAGCTGTGCGCGTGTGGTGAATAATCGGGCTCTTAAGCCGCACGTTGCTCATACGCAGCATTGGCAACGATACGACAACAGCAACAGCAACAGCGATTGTTGCAGCGGGGCGGCAACAACAGGCAGTCCATGCGCCTAAGCTACCCCTAACACCTCCTCTACACACCCTCTAAACCTGCGTTACCCACTTCCCCCTTCTTGTCAACACCTTTTTTGCTTCCTGCTGCTGCTGCTGCTGCTGCTACTGCTGCTGCTGCTGCTGCCGCTGTCGTCGCCTTCGACTGCGCCTGCTATTTTGTATATAAAGCCGAGCGTCGTCCATGGCTAACATCGAGTTCACAATTTCACTTCTTGGCGTTCACATCGAGTCGAAACAGTCGAACGGATCCTCTTCAACAATATCTCATTTCATTTGTGTTTGCAGTACCATAAATAAAACTGTTCCGTGAGACATCCGCACACATACACATATATATATTATCAAATATATATGTCTATATAAAAGTGAAATCGTAATCGCGCTCCAAATTTTTGTCTGAAATCAATTTTGCCGCCGCTATTTGCTTAGCCAGCCCATTATCCTTGTCTGCTTGCGGTGAGTTTGTTGTTTCAATTGTATTTGTCTAATTTCGAGTTACTGTTTGAGTTTATCTTAATCTGCTGGCAAGCGCTTGATATCAGGCAGCGCCTAATTGATATATTAATCAAGCGTGAATGCGGAAATTTGCAGTTCGAAATATCTACGAATCGCTTTAAGTAACACAGCAATTTATAAGCATTCAAAATTTGTGACATTTAGTCTTTTATTAAAAAATATTACATTTATTTTAGTATGCTTGCGTCTCAAAAATAAAAGAAAGAAAACAACGCAAAAATAATTTTTTACTCAAAATTTTTGGAAGGAAAAACTAACAACTACTAAAATTAAAGTTTTAATAAATTTCTATGACTCTACTGAAAGTATTAGCAAGTAAAATTTTCGTATATATTGACATTCCGACATTTTCTTACACGTGCAAAACTCGCCTCTTCTAACTGCTTTAACACTGGTTGACAAATGTAGCCAATTAATCATTTGCGTTGGCAGAGCTTTGCCGCTTTGCCGCTTTGCCGCCTGTCTAAATTGAAATTCATGTTCAAAAATACGACATGAAAATGAAAATATGCCAGTTAAGGTGACTAAATTAAATCAGACTGACTTGGAGATACCTCAGATAATACAACTTTCAAATGAAATGACAAAAAAAAGTAAAATTCAAAAATATTATTCTCATAAAAGGGAAAGGGTTATGGGAAACAATTATTGATATACCGAAACCTATAAATAATGCAAAATATCCAGTCATATTAGCCAAGCACAAATCAATTTATGAGACTATTTATTCTCAAATCTCATCAAACATTATGCCATATACCCCATTGGGCTTTTCTTATCAAAGGGTATTTAAGCAAAAATAGATGTACTTTAGGGGTTATTGTAAAACTCCCCCTGCTAAATAAAAATAAAATCACAGCCAAGAAAAAAAAAACGGCTAAAGGTGCCTGTTGCGTGGGCCTTGATATAGAAAATAATATGAATTACTTATGATGTGTAAGAGAACGGTAAAAGTTCGCATCATTTGCTCTCGCTTGCTGCAGACGTGAATGGTAAACGGTAAATGTAAACTTCATGCGTTCTTATCATTTCTGATTTGATATATATCAACATATCAGCGAGCATAGTTTCCTAACTTTATCCTTTAGGCGTATTTGCCTTGATTTGAGAACAGAAAACCGCAATCAAATTGCATTTAATATTTATTAGACGCTCCAATACAAATACTTCAGTCGGGCATGGGTGAGGGAAGCCTTAAGGGTAGCTAAAATTAGATGGCCAATAGCTGATGAAAGCCCGAATTGACGGCGAAACGCCAAAACGAGTTGAAATTGAGCTGGAGCCCAGTCAATGAAAGTACTTTGAAGTGGGGCACACTGTTGACAGACAAACAATGGGAACTTTTTATTAAAACTTATAAATACACTTTTTTCCATCCAAGTATTAAAAGTTTCAAAAGCACAATTTTGAAGATTATTTTGAAAAATATAGAGATCAAAAATGCCATGAGCTATAGACATAAAATTATGGGCTCTGCTCCTTCTGCTTGTCACATACATACATACCTACAAAACCATTATACCATGACTTCCCATTTATAAAAACAATAAATTGTTCAGCAAAATAAACTTGAGTCAATTCATGAGGTTTTATTCTTAGCCGAATAAATACTTTTCACATTTATTTAATTTATCTCATTATTTTCGTTTCAATCTATTTTTAGCTTATCTTGGAATAATTATATGCCAGTAATTTCATCCGCCTTACACCTTGTTAAGATCTAAAACTGTATTGGCAG